GGCAAAACTCGTTCTCAACATAAATTTTCTTCTCACTACGTAAACGATGGGCTCTATTTGTACTACATCTGTTCCGAGAGGCAAGCAACTGTGCGAGATTCAAAGAAAACTGTAAGTTTTAAGGAAGAAGTAAATGGCCATGGGGAGAAATATGAGCATAGTTTCGCGTCAAATGAAGGATACCGTGTTTATCATCTTCGACGCAATTTTTCCAGCGCACGGTATCTAGAATCGAGTATTCAAACGAAGACGTTCTTCGTAAAGAACGAAAAGTTCAGAAATTTGGGAATGTTACATGGGAATACGTCAGGACCAGAGAATAAATTCACTTGTTTAGGATAATCCACAGTTCTGCATAGGGCATATTTCGTTACATGGCGTGTCTTAGCCAATCAAGAAAAATAAGATTGCATGTTCCATGTCACATGGATATTTTGACTTAAATTTCAGGCTTCGAAAAAGTTGGCTAGTCTATCATGGATGTAAGAACCTTGCTAAACAATCTGCACAGAGAAATATTCTGTCCTGAGTGTAAAAGCACATTGGATGAACCAAAGACGCTACAATGTCTACACAGTGTCTGTCTCCGTTGCCTGAACAACATCTTGCGAACGAGTGGCCGCCGTGACATCATAAAATGCCCTGAGTGTCAAAGGGAAAGTGAAGTCCCAGAAAGTGGTAATCTCCAAGATTTACCGTCTAACTTTCGCATCGTCAGTGTGCTAGACTTGAAGGCCATTAAAGAATGCGATACTACTGATGTAAAATGTGGAAATTGCGACAAAATAAGCGCTCAAAGTTGGTACTGTTTCGGATGTTGGACACTCTGGTGTGAAGATTGTATCTCTGCTCACAACGTCATCCGGGAAAACAAAAAACACCGCGTTTTGGCAACTCGAGACTTTGAAGATAAAGACTTTGAAGACGTTTTAAAGCGACCAGCATTTTGTTCCAAGCTTGGACACGAAAGGAGAGAACTTGAATTCTTTTGCACGATTTGTGGAACCATCGTTTGTGACGCTTGCGCCTTGACACATCACGACGGTCACGACAAGATACCCTTGAAGCAAGCTGCAATTGAACGAAGGGAAGAATTTAAGTCAAAGATTGAATCTAAGAAAAAAAGATTAAAAACAATGAAAGATGAAATGAGAAATTTCGAAAAAGAGTGGCCTGAAATTCAAGAAAACGCTGCCTATGTAGAAAGAAGCGTACAGAAGTTTGCTGATGAAATTATCTCAGTGATCGAAGCGAAGAAAGAAGCGATCATCACTGAAGTGAAAGAGTCAATACAGTGTCAAGAGGCTAGACATAGCGAGAATGAACGCGAGATAAAAATTACCGAGGAGGCTCTGGAACTAGCTGAAATACTTCTTAAACGAAGCCCAAACGTTGAAATTGTTCAGCCTAACAAATTCATAGACAACGTTTTGCAAAATGACCCAGCAAAAGAGGTTCAAGATTTCGATGAAAAGAGTGATGACTCGGATGTCTTCGGTGAGTTCTTGAAAAATCAAAAGTTTTTTGATTATGTGTGCAGGAAAACCATTGGTACTTTGAAGTTCTTTCCCACCAAAACCAGACCACATCTGTCAGATGCCACTGGAAGAGGACTCACTCAAGCGTGCGAAGGGCTGAAAGCATATATAATTTTGACAACTAGGAACAGAGAAGGTGAACAGTGTTACCAAAAACATGACTGTGTGACGGTGGTGGGTGGTGATTCATATTCTGAAAAAGAGCTGGAAACACAAATCCAAGACAACGAAGATGGAACCTATGAAATCAGTTATTTTCCTGAATTCAAGCGGCAGGGCTTTAAGCCACCAGAATCACTCAAGATACAAATAAACGGAGAGCATGTTCATGGAAGTCCCTTTGCCGTCAGTGTTGATACAAGAAAGTTCAGTCCCGTCATGTCTTTTGGACAACAAGGTTCCTCAGAAGGAATGTTTAATGGGCCATGTGGGGTGGCAGTAAATGAACGCGATGAAATTGCAGTGTCTGATTCTGATAACCACAGGTTTCAGGTATTCAGTAGTGATGGAACTTACTTAAGGTCTTTTGGTGCAGAGGGTGATAAACAGGGGGAATTTCACACGCCCTCTGGGATAGCCTTTGAGGCAAATGGCAACATTGTTGTGGGGGACAGTGGTAACCAGCGAATTCAATTTTTCAGTGGGGAAGGTGAGTTTAAGAGTCAGATTGTTAACAGCACAAGTCTTGATCACTGTTTACCAGAGTCTTGCGGTATATCTGTAGACAATGATGGCAACATCATTGTTCCTGATTGCCGTGAAAAATCAGTTAAGATATTTTCTACTGGTGGACAACTTCTGCGTACAATTGGTGAGGGTCAGCTCACCTCTCCCAGTCATTGTATTCAATACAGGGACCATTTTTTTGTGTCAGACAAGGGTGACCATCGTATCAAAGCGTTTGATATGGAAGGGAGGTTACTGAACAGTTATGGCAGTGAAGGGGTGGGAAACAAACAGTTCAATAACCCATGTTACTTATCAGTTGACAAGGCAGGACGACTGATGATCTGTGATAA